AACGAGGCATATATAAAACGGTGACGATCTTCCCCCACCAACCTCTGCTTGGAGAGTAGAGCTAAGGCAGCCTTTTCCGTTTCTTGAGTGCCTCCGCCGTCCGGTTTTTCTCCAAGTCGTCTCTGCTGGCTCTCTCTACTTCCCGGACTCTCTTGTTGGTCAGTTTGTTTCGGACAGCTTTTCCGGTGGCCGTGTACACCCTTGGGGAATGGGGTTGCGTTGATTTGATTTGGTGATGGGTTGATTGTAGGCGTTGGTAGTGATCTTACTGCAATATATGAATATATGACATGGTCAAATTCAAGGTAGGACAATGTTTTACGTTTGGATAGGTCATTTATGTATAGCAAGCCAACACTGTAGTGCAATGTAAATGACACCTGTTTTGTATATTGAATTAACATGTGACCTTGACCGTTGGTCACTGCGGTGTGGTGCCCCCGGCTATGTGAGTAGCTCGGTCCTTGTGTTCCAATGTCCTTGGTGAGTAGGCACGTGACCATCAGGGGCTTATGTACAGTATAAAGGAGCAACAGTCTGTCAGACTTCAACAGCCCAAGGCATAAACCACCTGGTTCCTGATTGTGAACTACCTATAAGGTAAGTCATAACGCTTTAGATATCTTGTTAAGTTTATAGACTGTTGAAATAACACACTTGTCCCTGTACAGTTGTCACAAATTCCACCCCTAGTCCTGTTGTGGTTTTAGTAAGCTAGATAATACACCCGGGTCACCCCTCAGGCTCTATACATCATGTACTATAGTCCATGAATAAGCAACCTTTCCAAGTAAGCCACGCAAGGTAATATGAACCTCTTCTCCACCGGACCCGAGAGTTGAGCATACCTCCTGTACCCTACTAACCCTCAAGATCAAACTGAAGAGAGCACTACAATCATTGTAAGCGTGTCCTGAACAACTCCAAAGCGTATACAATACATCAAGTCCATTTGGACTGGGAATCAGACAAACGTTAACAGCTTGGGTTAATTATCAACTAGAGTTCCCCGATCTCATACCTTCGCCAAATGATATTAATCTTTATGACTGACAAATAATAGATAAGATTATTCCCCCCCTGATTTAAGAAATAGGAACCTAATTTTCATGAATTATATCATTTTATCATAATCTCAACCAAAAAAACAGTCTTATATTAACAAACAATGCATTCTAGCATTTCCAAATAAATTATGCAAATGAGGTCCTGATTTGAATAAATTATGTTTAATGATGTTCACCTCAATTTAACTTTCAAATACCACAAGTATGAAATTCCAGGCAGTTATCATTACATAATTATAACATTTTCTCATTAATTATGCAAATTAGGTCATTATTAACATAATCAATATCTTCCTGTGTTTCTCTCGTTGTCAATTACCAATGTCACAAGCTTTAATTGTCCTATCATGGAATGCAGCTGATTTATAGAATTTCCCCATAAATTATGCAAATTATATCCATATTTGCATAATTGTCACATAATTATATGAAGGATCACGTAAGCTACCTACATACCGAAAATCACGACGATCCGTCAACCGGTTCTTGAGTTATCCCCTTTTGAATATTTTCAAGAATATATCGCTGCAGTTCCAGAGCAAGCCGCTAGGGGGCCTAAACTCACATCACTTCTTCCCCAGCACAAGAGCTACCTACCATCTAAATTTCATCACCCTAGCATGTCTAGATCATGAGATATCAAAACCGGAAGTTCAGCTGCAGTACCATAACAAGCCGCTAGGGGGTCCAAAATCTAATCATTTTGAGGTCTCATCAAGACCTACCCACCTTCCAAGTATCAAGACAATCCATCAAGGCCTTCTTAAGTTATCGTGTTGACACACACACACACACATACACGAACGCCCCTGAAAACATAACCTTCTTGGCGAAGGTAATTAACTGTTGATGTAGAAAGTATAATGAGTGTGTTATCGTTACTATAGGTCGCGACGTTCTTGCGGAAGGATAGAAATACGTATGGACACTTTAAAGGGATATGACACTAACCTTCGACGTTCGCAAATACATGTGCATGTATACGTAATTCTTCCCTGATGGTGCTTTTAAGCAGTTAAATATTAAGTCTAAAAGCACTTCGCAAGGGCACAATGATATGTACAGGGATGGTAATGGTTGTCTTTTCGGTCGTGTTGTACTCAGCATGGCGTTGTCGAAACAGCGACCTCCCTACGCGGAATACAAGGGTATACTGTTCACAAGTATAGTTCCAAGGGAAAGCCTGGAAGCCATGAAGACTTTTGAGATACGTGACGGTGATGTGGTGATTGTAAGCTACCCCAAAAGCGGTAGGTGTCGCTGTAAAATGACTGTACATGAATGCGATTCACGGAAAACATACACTTAGTATTTTTAATTGCCAGATTTTAAGTTTCCATTTAACAGTTAAATGTCATTTACCTCTAGCTCTATTGTATCTTCCAAGCTGTGTAGGGCATTTTTTATGTATATGTCACGGGAGATTGGAATCCAGGGCAATCTGGAATTGTCCGAGAGAAGATAGGAATTCTGATAGATTAATAGATTCTCCTAGGAGATCTTACAACTGCAGGGGATCTATAAATCCTAGGAGAATCTGGAATTGTCCTCGGAAAAATCAGAATTCAAATCTCCCGTAGGACATGGAATTCCAGATTACCCTGAATTCCAGTAACCCCTGTAACATGTACATATTTTTTTCTCGAAACATGCTTCCTAGAACAATTTGGCAGCTAAGACATCATAATGACAATAAAAATATGTCAGTGGCCAGAAGGAATTTTAGAACGATTTAGTTGACACCTGCATTTAACCTGTCTTTCAATATCACATCTTGAAACTAATACTGAAGGTAATGGGTTTTTTAAATACAATTCTAGGCGTCTGTTTTGAATGTTCAAACAGTGTATGTATGGTTTCAAGTAGCACTGTGATTAATGAACAATTAAACATTGTTCCAAAAAAAGCATGCAATCACGTAAATATCAGAAACATCAACTGTTATACTTTCTACAAGGTTTCAATTGGATGTACGAAATTGTGCACAAGATTCTTGGTGGGAAGAAAGAAAACTCATCGCCGATAGGACCTGAGTTTTGGCCTCCAGGACAAGAAGAACCCTACTACATCCAGCTGCGGAACATCCCAGCTCCTCGGCTGATGGGTTCCCATCTACAAATCCAAATGGCTCCTCCAGGCTTGGCGGATCCAAAAACCAAGGTTTAGTTCAGTCAGGATATTTTTGTTACCTCAAAACATTCTTGATTTACTTTGTATTACTTGTTGCTAAAAAGTACATTTTAAATCAATATTGGCCTGTAACTCTCCATAGGTGAAAGTCATTGTCGTCATGCGGAACCCTAAGGATGTTTGTGTGTCCTACTACTACTACCGGCAGAAAAATCCGATTTTAAAGCCTCCAGAATCTTGGGAACAGCACTATAGGGACTTTCTGGAAGGGAAAGGTCAGTTGTTGTTTTTTTTAATCAGGGACATACTAGTACAGACATGTATTATACTTCAAACACGTACAGAAGCGCGGATTCAAAGAAAACCGCTCCTTTAAATTAAATAATCTCACACTTGAATCATAAAATGTTTCCATCGATATCGACTAGGAAGACATGATGAGGCTAACTCACTTTGCAAATCTCCAATCACGCCAAGGGTGCTGTTAATGTGGTTTCCAATTTACAAATCCTAAATTTCAAGTCAATACATTGATCTAAAGTAACATGACTCAAACTTGAAAAGTTGTCTTTTAAGCGAATATAATAAAATTTACATTTCCCTGAGTCTCTACCCTGGCATAAACATGTCAATCCCTTTTCATCACAGTACCCTTTGGTGACTACTTTGACCACGTGCTGGGCTGGTGGCAAATGGAGAAAGACCCTCACTTCCTTTTTGTCAAGTACGAAGATATGAACAAGGTACAGGATGTGTATTACATTATATGTAACGTACTCACGGGCGTATCAAATGAGCAAAAAAATATATAGAATATTATCAACATCTTTGGGATTAACTGCCATCAGTATCAATACGCAGGTTCACAATTACGAGTGCGCGTGTAGTGTCACAGGTGCGCTCCACAGATGGACAAACAAAACCCGTCAGACCACGCTTTATACATGTCCAGACGTACTTTGTTTAAGTCACAGTATTCAACTTTGACCTATTACCCACAATGCTTCACACCACGCATGCGCAGTCACAATTGTGGACGACATATTTTGCTCGTTGCAGCAAGGAGGTTAAACGTCATTTTAACCTTGTTTGCAGGATTTTTGCTCGGCGGTGAAGACTCTAGCAGCCTTCTTGGAGAAAGAACTGACTGAAGAAGAGCTGGCCCGTGTGCTGACCAGTTGCAGTTTGGAGTCAATGCGAAAGACGTTGGCAGAATCTGAAACGTGGAGAAAGGACGTTGTCAGGAAAGGTAAAAAAAAGATCGATGTTTCTGTTGAATTCATGTTCACTTTGTCGAAATTACTGCACATCGAAAGAAATGTCTTTCCTCCTTTGACCGAACGATAGGAGAGAGAATCTTGATCTTGCCTAGTCTATGCTATTCATTATTATTCATATTACACGTAATCGCAACAAGTTTTGTGATATTTCGTACTCATGCTGTAGTTGCTTAGTGTTTTTCTAGTTGAAGACAAAAATCGACATAAAACAGGGTGTCATGACAATTACCTTCTGTCTCCTGCCAAGGTATCGTTGGAGACTGGAAGAACCACTTCTCGGCCGAGGAGAGTGAAAAGTTTGACGAAAAGTACCGCAAACGGATGGAAGGTTCAGGGCTGGAGTTTGAGTTCGAGTAGCTGGATAAAATCTTGTACATCCAAATAGAATGATGGTATCAATAACTAGAGTTCGAGGTTTGCCTTTATGGCTAAGAAATTATATATTAATCCCCCTGATTGTGCAAATAGGATCCTATATTGCATCAATTATATATGTTGATCATATTCTACACCAGAAGACAGTCTTATCTTATCAAAGAATGGCATTATAGTATTTCGTCATAAATTATGCAAATGAGGTCCTTATTTGAATAAGTTATGTTTAATTATGTTCACCTTAACAACATAACTTTCAAATATCCCAAGTATGAAATTCCAGGCAGTTACCACTATGTAATTATAACATTTTCTCAATAATTATGCAAATTAAGTCCTCATTTGCATAATTGATATCTGCCTGTATTTCTGCCGTTCTTAATTACGTATGACACAAGCTTGAATAGTCCAATCATGGAATGCAGCTGATTTATAGAATTTCCTCATTGATTATGCAAATTACATTAATATTTGCATAATTGTAATATCATTATGTCAAGCATCACTTCAGCTACCTACATGCCAAAAATCACGACGATCCATCAATCGGTTCTTGAGTTTCTTCAGCCTTTAAACATTTTTTCAACTAACGCCCCTGCAGTTCCAGAGCAAGCAGCTAGGGGGCTCAAACTCGTGTCACTTCATTCCCTACCCAAGAGCTATCTACCATCTAAATTTCATGACTGTAGCACGTCCAGATCACGAGATATCAAAACCGGAAGTTCAGCTGCAGTACCATAAGAAGCCGCTAGGGGGACCAAAATCTAAACAGTTCTAGCTCTCATCAAGACCTACCCACCTACCAAATATCAAGACAATCCATCCAAGCCTTCTCGAGTTATGCTGTTGACAGACATACAGAAAGACACACACACACAGACACACGGCCAGCAAAACATAACCTTCGTCAATTCTTGGCGAAGGTAACAAGAGATCTGAGATTCTAAACCTCCAGTATTCTACGGTATATCTAATGCATAATGTTGAAAACGGCTGCTGACAATTTCAGACAGCAATGTTACCAGTAAGTAGTAACATTATATGACAAAAAGAAACTTTATTTTAACAAAAACGAAAACGGCTTGAACAAACAAATTAACAATGTTAACATAATAAAAACTGTAAAAGGCACCTATTACTACTTTTCTCATACATATGTACTTCAAAACCAGAGATAAGGCTATATAGTAAGTACCTAGGCCTGTTGGCTCTATTGCTACCAAATATACTGGATACAGTAGTACTAATAAACTAACAGCACTAGCCCTCACTTATCCATTTTCAACTACCAACAATGATCTATATGGCAAAACAAAAGGATAAAACTGTATGCTATCCTAAAACATCTCTACAGTCTAACCGATATAAAGGTAACAAGGTAATATTGGATGGTAATCCATCTAAGAACAGAAAAAGTCCTGCTCTGTAACAGGGGAACTAGGTAAGATTAGGCTGGATATACATGCATCACTTTACATCCTCTGTATCTTCTATATCAGTGCAATTTTAATGCTATAATGCCAGGCAGGGAATGCTACAGTGTACCACACACAAAAATGTTTTCAAAGAACCGGCGCAGTACCAATAATAAAAAATATTTTGACAGTTTCCCACAATCACTCTTACTCGTGATGATTTCTTGTAGAACATGAATTTCCCACATCAGGGTCCATCTTTTTACCATGACGGCCTTCTCGCAAGTTTAGGCATTCTAAAATCTTGAGAGTTTGTACTATACTCACACTATACTAGTACTTTCATCCCTACCTCACTGTGCAAGCAAAGGGTTTTAAATCAGCCAGTTCACTACCGTTCATCAAAACTGGTTCTGTACTCCTCGCACTTGAAAGGTTTCTCACAAGTGAATCCGCATGTGTTTCTTTACACTACTCAGCTTACAGAACTGCCTGCTGCACTCCTCACACTTGTAGGGTTTCTCCCCTGTGTGAGTCCGCATGTGTTCCTTCAGACTATCTAGTCGACTGAACTGCCTGCTGCACTCCTCACACCGGTAGGGTTTCTCCCCTGTGTGAGTCCGCATGTGTTTCTTCAGATGACCCTGTCGACTGAACTGCCTGCTGCACTCCTCACACCTGTGGGGTTTCTCCCCTGTGTGAGTCCGCATGTGTTCCTTCAGATAATCTAGTCGACTGAACTGCCTACTGCACTCCTCACACCTGTAGGGTTTCTCCCCTGTATGAGTCTGCATGTGTCTCTTCAGACCAACCAGCTGACAGAACTGCCTGCTGCACTCCTCACACCTGTACGGTTTGTCCCCTGTGTGACTCCGCATGTGTACCCTCAAATTACACAGGTGATTGAATTGCCTGCTACACTCCTCACATCTGTAAGGTTTCTCCCCAGTGTGAGTCCGCATGTGACTCTTCAGATGACTCAGATGACTAAACTGCCTGCTGCACTCCTCACACCTGTAGGGTTTCTCCCCTGTGTGAGTCCGCATATGGCTCTTCAGACTCTGCAGCTCACTGAACTGCCTGCTACACTCCTCACACTTGTAGGGTTTCTCCCCAGTGTGAGTCCGCATATGGCTCTTCAGACTCTCCAGCTGACTAAACTGCCTGCTACACTCCTCACACTTGTAGGGTTTCTCCCCAGTGTGAATCCGCATGTGACTCTTCAGATTACTCAGCTGACAGAACTGCCTGTTGCACTCCTCACACCTGTAGGGTTTCTCCCCAGTGTGTGTCCGCATGTGGATCTTCAGACTCTCACAGATGACTAAACTGCCTGCTGCACTCCTCACACCTGTAGGATTTTTTGCCAGCTACCCTGTTGGCAGATCTCCCTTTTGATCCTCTATTGATGTCATCAGAGCCACTGATATTTGTCGCCATGATAACGAAAGCTGAATTCACCTCTACAGTCCTGGAGTAGAAGGATAAACCATATTTAATTTTAACAGTTTCTGGCTTTGGTAAACATAAATCATGATTGATAATGAAATGGATGATCTGAACTGAACTGAATAAAAATGAGACATTTAGATGAAGAAAGTACTAGTATACAGTCCCAAAATCTGCAAAGAAAAAAGCAAGGCCTACTTGCAAAATTTGTTGCTAGATAGATTAAGTTTAATGCCCTATCAGTTTGTGTGAGCCTTCATTGAGAAAATTCAAATGTGTCTGCTGGCTGCTTTCCATAAGTATCGTCGTCGCCAGTCATCCTCAACAAGATGAAGCATGATTCTTCTTCAGTTGCTATACTGCAATGTGGCGTAAACAAGGGGCCTGGGCTCAAGTACGTATGGGGCGACAGTATCATTCTAAGAGTCAAATTATGACAAAGTATCAATTTTCTGATTCAATATCACAGATCCGGTTGTTGTACGTAAAATAATATATTATTACCTGCAAGGTATACTTCAAACAATCAAGTCTTGAAGTGGAACTGCTACAACAAGGCACTGATGTAGGTAGAAGGTAGAACACAGGTGAAGCCTTTGTGTTTTCCCTTTCAGCGGGGTAGGCAGTACTGCTGGACTGTGGAATCCTGTGGAAAATGGAAAACAAAATACTAGTACTATATGTGATTAGATTGGCTGCGTTTCTGTGTATCACCTCGGTCGACAAAGCTTCAACTATAGTAGTTAGTGGATCACCCCTAACTGATAACTAGTAATACCGGTACTACCTGTACAACAGTTATTGAACCTCCCCTAGTCTCCAGTCATTTCCTCCATGATAGAAACCAGATGTTTGGGCGGGAAGATCACCCGAGGCTCATGTAGGGGTTTACTGAAAGTTTAGACGCAAGTCATTTTCCAATTTCAAAATCAAAATTCACGTTTCTCTGCACAAATTAACAACTGACTTTTCAAAAGACAATATTATTTCCTGTATAACAATTGCAAGCATCGATCTCTGCTATCGACGTCTTCAGTTTCAAAATTACGTAACCCCCTCTAGACCTTCTGCTTGGCGCGTCAACAAGAACTTTGTCAAAACAAGAGACATTACACACAAATTTCAAAACAAAAACGACACAAACAAAACAGGCTTCAACGTTTGGGTACCCTTGATGATCCAGACACACTCTATACAGTTGTTGCAGACATAACTTTGTTTACAAACACGATGTCGTTGGTTTTCGAGCCTCCCTTGTCACGTGTGAGACACAAATATTTTTGACTTGAGACAGAACGCAAACAAAAATGTTTAAATACGTATCATTATCCTATAAAAGCGATAACTGTAGAGTAGAGACGCTCTTCGTACGTACCTGAGTTGAATGGACGATATATTCTCAACGAATTAAACCGAAATAGTCTCGTAGAAAGATGAGGAGAAACTCTCGATACTTTCCTACTGCCACCACGACGCGGAGGTTAGAGAATGAGCTCCGCGGAGCTGGAATTTATAATGAGGCAAAGAGGCTGGAGTTTCTTGTTAGTGCTATCCGCGGAGTTTGTATTCGCCACATGTCATTTGCGACAGAAATTTCCCGTTTCTCAGAACAGGGTCTCTTCCACACCTCTTTGTAGACTTATAAATTGTAGAATTTGTGCAAAATATGGCGCTATGTATTGGTATATATGCCACGGGAAAATTATATTCCGGGCTTGGCCGGTCATTGGAGTACCGATTTGCCCTGGGCCAAGCCCTACAAAGTACAGCTTCTCATCGTATTAATAGGCAAGTACTAGTAATATTGCAATATTGCAAATACTGCACTATACACTGTTGTTATATTATCAAAGGAAGTAATAACATTCAAATAGCAGAAAGTTTGATTTATTACATAGCCTGAACAAGGACCTCCTTGGCCTGAACAACAGAAATATGAGCCCGATTCCGACTTTCCAACGGCAACAAGCCAACAGCCAATTGATGGCACAAAATTACACCAATACATTTATGTGACTTGCTTGAACTTTACATGTAACGTTATGTATTATATATCAAGGCTAGTATCTATATGGTATAAGAAGAGCGCCAAATTCAATTTCAATGGATATGTTATACTACTCACATGACGTGTCATTGTTGTTATCCATTTTAAGAAACAAATCTATTGCAACCAATTGAGTTACAGTCAACAGTTGAACTTCAAGTTGTCTGTATTTTGTAACGATTTGTCAGTTACATGTAAGCCTCTGTCACACATAGCCGTTCATGACTCTCTGGTCTTTTCCCGACCATATGGTTGTGAGTTAGTCGTGCCAAGATCCTCTATGGTCGGGAGTTGGTCTAGTCTGCGAGGTTGCCTACGAGTGTCGGAAAGCAATATTTACTAAGTAGGCTTGGATGTGATCAGAGCGAATTGTAGCTACAATAGACTGTACTCCAGCTTACTCCTAATCCAGCGTCGACCTTGGTCGGGGAATGGTCGGGAGCCAATGTCGTGGGAAGGGCCTGGATGTGACATGGGCTCTAGAATGTGAACGGAAGAGTACATACACACGAATGGTGACCGACAACTGCATGGCCACAAACTACGACATTAACAGTCACAGATAACTTCCTTTTCCTTCACACGGTAGAAACAGCTTCATGCACTACGTAAGTCTTGCGAACGGCCGCTACCCCTTCCATCGGTATGACCTCCTCCATTTGTCCCCCATCCCCCTCAGCCTCCCTGCACCGTACACCCTCGCAGCAACCGCTCTTTCTCCCCCGTCTACAGCATCGGTAGTAACACGGCTCTGGCTGCCTATCCGCTAGAAACGTGTAGTGGCGAACTCTCCCCATGTACACCCACCACACGAAACACGTGGACGATATACCCAGGAATATCACAATGGTCACGCTACAGTACACAATCTCGATCCCGAGTTGGTTGGGCCCGGCCAGAAATTCCTTGTAGGCTAGAAGGATTTTCTTGAGTGCCTCTGCCGTCCGGTTTTTCTCCAAGTCGTCTCTGCTGGCTCTCTCTACTTCTCGGACTCTCTTGTTGGTCAGTTTGTTTCGGACTGCCTTTCCGGTGGCCGTGTACACCTGTGGGGCATGGGGGTGGAAAGCGTAGGTTGTGATTTTACTTCAATATATACGCGCATTCATCGTAAGTCGTCGTACGTTTTCCGATCGCAGTGTCTTCAAGCAAGCAGGCTTACCCTGGGTGCCAAACTACTATCGGGGCGTTAGCCGTTTTCCTTCGGCAGACAAGAGCCCTTCGCCCGCCTATCTAAGTTATCGCCACGGAGGAGTTGAGCCCAGGAGAATTTGTCCGGCCCTAGTTCTAGGAAAACGGCTAACGACCCGATACTAGTTTGGCACCCAGGGTAAAGCAGACTGTGACAGCTAACGATCAACGACAATGAGCTAAGGCAGCCTTTTCTGTAAAGACAGCTGAATTATTTTCCAGGGCACATGAACAACCATCCAACATTCCTCTCCTCCTCGATTTGCGGCCGTACGGCGTTCGCAAGACGACATTAGTTAAGACCATACAAAAGTCTCTGTACTTTTTTTGTTGTGTCAATAAAGAATCTATGACACTATATCAAAGACTTATGCTAGCCCGTGTTATAGCCCGTGTTATATTTAGGATACCTAAGTATAAGTTTTACTATACCTTCTTTGTACTATGTTTAATTGTCGTGCAAATAAGCTGTACCCAATGCAAGCACCAAGTGTTCACTTTACACACATACATCCTTCGGAGAAGTGCCCCAAATCCAATATTTTGTTAATCAGTGGAGTTTAGTTGGACAAGAGAGAGTTAATTTATTCTTAACCACATAAAACATGGTGTTTATTGACCTGAATTACTGATTAGCCTGGCGACGCATAATGGTTATGCCAATGTGTACTAGAATGTAGGACACTTACTATAGGCCTGGTCATATTCGTAGTACGATCGTTGTACGACTGCGAACTGAGAGCATTCTTGTGATAGTCGTGCATGTGTAGTATATAAAACATTCAGTTGTCTCGTTGACGAAAATGTTGTCTTAGATCTTTGTGGGCGGTTAGTTCTGAAGTCTGCTTGGAAATGTCGACTCATCAAAATCGTGGCCGCGTCGTTTTTCAAAACTAGTTGTTCCCATTCCAAAATTCCCAGATTCGGACGTTTAGGCAGCTTAGCTTACAGCTAGCTTAAAGTAAGTTTGCAAACTCAAGTATGAGTTTTCACAAATCGATTTGAATTTTCCATATTTTCTCTGATCCTCAGAAACCAATACATTTGCAGTACTGCCACCGATTAATAGGAGCCGCTTTTGGGGATGAATGAAGAGCTATCTACTCAGGCAAAGCCTACCTGTTTGTTTGCGGCACAGTAGGTGATGACGACTCCCTCATCGCAGTCTCCTGGCTTCCAGGCTCGCCCCAGGAGGGACCAGGCGAACCGGATGAGCGCGTGTTGGTCTTGTTCACTGACGTGACAAATAAAACAACAGGTCATCATCAAAAAACAGCAATTCCTTTCCATACCGCTCTTTCTGTGGACATGTCTCTCTTTGAGTCCCTTTCTCTCCCTCTTATACACACTCGCGCGCGCGCGCACACACACACGCACGCGCGCGCACAAACACACGCACACACCACACACACACACACACACACACACACACACACACACGCGCGCGCGCGCATACACACACCGACACACACACACAAGCGGACCTTTCCTTGGTGCTGAACACTATCCACACACTCGCGGGCATACACAAATACGCGCACACACAGAGAGGGGGAGAGACACCAGCAAGCAGACCTTTCCTTGGTGCTGAACGTCATCCACACACTCGCGCGCATACACACAGACATATTCCTTACACATATCAACTCTTCTCTAGTCTTCCAAGTCCAAATCGCTCCTTTTGACTTACATGTATTCCTTCTCCAGGTCGAAAACCAGGGCCACCGCTATTTGGTACCCATGGAATTGAGGAGACTTGTTGTCAGTGTTATTTGAATCCTCATCGTCTTCCAATTCTTTCACATCTTTAGGAGGACACGGAGTTGCTTCTATGCTCGAAACGTTGAGGACGATGTTTTCAATGTCGTTGGCTGTAAAATTTAAGGGCAGAGATATTGTATAAGATATGACATATGATGCGTGTATTAAAAGGATTTCAACTATAATTTCGAAGGGGCATTGTGTAACTTTTTGCACCAAGAATTGAAATATTTTAATTGTAAAAATCTTTGTGTTTGTAATTCACTTCCACTTTTCAATATATTCATGCTATAATCTCACATTTCTGACATTTATGGTTCGCGCTGACAGCGATATCAGGCGTACTTATTTTGTCGTACCACCACAAATACCAGAATGTAAACAAACATGGCTGACAACTTTTTTTCCAGTTTTTAAACACACTCGTAAGGCGTCATATGCATATTTTGGCACCTCCACTTCCTGAACGGCACTTTTTTGCAATGGAGTAGCTATAGGGTTGATTCAACTTACTTTGTAAAGAAATGACCAGAAAATTGGCTTTTTTTATCATCCTCATGTTATATAGTGTAGCTTTAATTTAACGAAAACTACAACGTAAAAAGTTGACAATAACCTTCTGATTTGGTAAGTATCCTATTGGGATCGCAGAGCCAGGAGGGCCCGGGCCGCCCACACCGCTTGAAGTCCGTCTGCGGGTGCGGGTACTGCTCCACCCACCATTTAGTGACGTTGGCCCGGCAGGGACAAGCACGGTCCGAATAAAGGGCTTGCTTGTAGCTCGTATCGTCTGGAACTGCAGTGTAATCTTGATTCTGGGAGCTACCATTTTTGAGCGGGAGGTTTAAACGTGTTGGACCATTTTCTTTCTCCTTTAGTTCGGTAAATTCATCCTCAGTAACCAACATCGTATCAGGTTTGATGTACACAATGTCACGATCTTCAAGCACGGTCATTTTGTTCTCGTCAAGTGGTCCCCCCTGCGGGGAGAGTGGAACCGTCCACTGGCGGCGGCGCCCGTCACCACCTGGTTGCTGGGTGTGGCGGTTTCCATGGTTTCTGTTTCTCGTCCAATAGTGGCGCCTTCTGTGGGGAGTTTCCTGTCGCCCCTTGGTCTCGTTTGGGTCTTCTGAATGAGGGGTTGCGGTTTTTCCGTCGTCCCACGACTTCTTCCTCAATAGTTCTTCGAAAGACCACTTTTCTTTCGGTAGGTATTCCTGTATGACTACACGGGGTGTGGTCGCATTGAGGCGGTCACTTTGAGTGTCAATAGTTTCTTTTGTGGAACTACCCGGTAATAACTGAAGAGTGACCTCTACAGATGACCCTCGATTGCCATAGAGGAATAGAACCAGGATAGCCACGTGTAATATGTTTTGCTTGATCCCCATATTGATTCTGCAGTGTAGTAGTGGACTCTGCAAAAAAGAAATTGGAGATTAGCGTGAAAGTTATCTGATGCCTGAGTTGCTACATTGTGAAATTTAAACTGTTCTCCAACTCAAAAAGAATTTTGACATCGGAATTCTTGACACCGTACACCGTGAAGAGAGCCATCTACATCAGGGCACGCTAACATTCTCTCAACCGAGACGGGGGGCGCTTCCGACTTCCGATGAAGTGGTGACGCCACACATGCAGAAAAAAACACGTGTCTACAGCACTTGGGTCAGATAGCTGATGAAGACCGACAGACTCGGTCAAAAATCTGGTGTGTCCAAATTATTTTTTGAGTTGGAGAACTGTTTATTATTAAGAAATAGGAGATTTTAGAATTCTGATATATCAGTGATAAGAACTACTACAAGTTTGGATTTTCGTAGCCTTACAGTCCACAGACCTCGTCTGTGTGATGTAATTTGATTGTTGAGGTATTTCCACCACTTCCCATACCACCCACTTACTCCTACCCAGCAGCGCATGCTGGTTCACCTTAATTTAGGCGTAATCAATCAACTGTCAAAATCGCCTCCCACCCACCATGTAACGGAAGCTATTTAAACAGACAATTCGACAAACAAACCCACGATTCAGCCATTCAGCCAAACAATATTCCCATACCCAGTAAAAAAGCACGTTTGTGATCTATATCACAACTTACGACGCCTAGGAAAATTGGGAACCCTGCCAAACTTTCCAAACTATATTATCGGAAAACCTGTGTTGGCGATGATATATACTCGTAGCTAGGTGACGAAGAAAGCGTAACAGTTCTCGACAATAAATGGGGATTTTTACTAGGACAGCTCATTGAGCTAAATTAACGCTTAGGGCGCTACACTGTCAGTCTAACTGACTCTTCCCATGGCACTAAGACGTCTCCCTCAAGGGAATCTTCGAGGAAACCTTGACAACTGATGTCTTAACTCACCTGGATTCCTTCATAGACCCACGGTTGCCCCTGTCTTGTTCCCTACACCAAGCTACAGGTTGAAATCGACAAGTCGCAGTGACAGAGGGTTTTCCATCGGGCGCGATCTTCACTCCAGTCCCGCACAGAACCAGACACGTATGCTGCGAAATGAATTATTTAAGTGACGACATTCTTTTGGCACGGTGGCCCAAGAAATGGCTTTCCCAGGGTAGAGAGCTCTCACGGAAAATATTGCCAGCGACAATGTTCCCACCAGTCTAAATCAACCAGAAGACGTGAACATGTATCATAGATCGAAGAGCGACAACAACACTGGTAAAATCACGCCAGAAACATCTAAAAATCTATCGTTGGAGCCTGTCCAGCAGACTCAAGTCGCCTTTGCCCCGTCAGAAAACTGATTTTACCGCATTATCGTCTGTCTTTGCCTGGCAGAGTGACAGTAGGACGGATCGCTTGTTCCATCGATGGTTGGACATTGATCCTTTTAAATCACGGATGCGAGACGGTTCGCACAACTGGCGTCACGGACAACGCAATAACGACCCGAGCCTTAAGAGCTTTCCTTGGCCGTAATTAAGTTAAACCGGAGCAATTAAGCCAATATCTAACGTCAGTACGCAATCAGGTGCCACCGGGGGAATAGTCATTTTCTGCAATTTGTCGCGCTCTAGTGACGTATGAAGTACATGTACGGAAAGCAAATGAAGTGAGGTGCTCTACCAAGTCGATAGCCTGTCTCGTAGTATAACAAGCTATTAACTCAATCACTCCCGCCCCCTCCCTCACCCCAGATCGTTTGAGCAGAGCGACGGAGCTGGTGGATGTTGCCCATAGGGTGTAATTATTCTGTTGGTCGCCAGGTGGCTTATTTAAACTTCCTTGCTGAAAGCAAATGAAGTGACGTGCCGATAGTTTGTCTCATAGTAACTCAATCACTCAACCCCCTCCAGTTAACAAGAAATCAGAGATGTGAAAATATTACTTTTTGTGACTTTTGTTTTATTAAATTCAATGTGGATTTCTCTGTCTACATCTGTGCATTTCACATCCATCCTTCTACTTAACTTCGAATTTCTGTGTCTGACTTTTTGTGGTCATCACTTCCTTCCAACTTGACCTTAATGTCAATCTTCTGTGATCAGATCCCATACCTCCCTTTCTGCCACTTAACTACTTTCCAATAACCAGACACAAGCACATGAACACACACACACACACACAAACACACATGAACACACACACAAACACACATGAACACACACAATGAACACATACACACATGAACACACACACACACACACACTGAACACATACACACATGAACACACACAATGAACACATACACACATGAACACACACACAATGAACACATACACACATGAACACGCGTGTGCGCGCACACACACACACACACACTGCCTATGTTCTCGGAGGTAACAAAACAATACACAATAAAAAGCACGCCAACATAGAATAATGAAAGTGATTTATTTATACACTTAGTAAAGTAGCTAGTTTAACATGTGCAACATCTTTAGTCAACTATATAAGTTTGCATTGCAGTTGCATTAGATGTTGTTATACTAATTATATCAGATACGTAAAGCTCCACTTTTTCACACTAAGTGATATATTTTGTTAATATATAAATATACTTAAACGTTGACAAAATGATACCTAAAAATGTTACGTCTACTAGTTTGTCTGGCTATAGAGTAGAGTAATATAATACTAGTATATTGTTTGATATTAATATACTTGGCACAGAAATCCAATGTAGATTTCTACAATTCTTTCCATCTTACAATTGAAAACACCAACCAATCCTATGATACACTTCAGCAACAAAACACGTATCAGAATGACAATACATAATAAAAGTAAAACTTAACATACCTTTAGGCAACTCCAGGTTTTATCATATTTAAAAGAAAGTATGCTACATTGGTATTTCAACATAGAAACAGAGTTTCATGGCAAAGTTTAAACAGAAACACACTGTTTCAAGCAGTGGCTATAGCCAGATGTAAGTTTTCCTTTAAGTAGACCCTTTGCTAAATCTTCACTTCAAAATATCTGAGAACCAAGGAAACATAATTACAGTGTGCAAATTACTACTTCTTCTAATTGAGTATTACAAAACATGATGTTCATTTCATTAAATGTAAATGTAGTAAGTATAGTTTCCCTGTACATATATATGTTGGTAGAGATTGTGGTCTGGTAGAATATTGCCGATTCTACAGGTAATATTCGTGATCAGGACCAAGAAATGTGTTATGGAAGGAATGGGTAGTCTCCCAATTATAAATCCATTGATCTAAACAGACATGTATCAAAGTTGAAAAATTCTGACTGTCTTATACATGTAGAAGTATCTTAAGATTTACAGACTCTAATCGGGATCTCTTTTTACCAGTAGAATCCATGATTGTACTGGTTGCATGCCCGTTGCCAGGATTTGGAATGCTTGAGGGACCAGCGAGCGCCGAGGGAACCAGGTTTCTAGGGGGATGGGGGGGGGGGGCATGCTCCCCCGGGGAAATTTTGAAAAATGAACCTTCTGAAATAGAAATTTCTTGCATTTTTTAGAGGATTTTAGAGGATTAACTTTTTTCAATGACAAAGTGAGCAGTTTTCCTACGATTCCAGCCTCACTGGTGACACGAATCAGTCCATCTTTTAAAGAAAAATCTTGGACCTTTAGATAAAAAGTGGACCGAAAAGTGGACCTTTGACTTTGAGCCTTGTGGGGGGTTCGTCCGAACCCCCCCTGGCTACAGGCATGGGTTGAGATCCTGATTTCAATTTCTGTCGACAGAGACTTCGACCATGATCTCTGCCAAGAAAATCAGTGTAGATGTAGATTTTAAATACCTTGAATGAAATGTTCTGTTATGTCACAGTTAGTTTTACCGACTATAGTGTCATGATGTTCTACCCTTTTCATATATGGCTAATGGGATAGCCTTGGTAGAACATATACAATGGATAATATATATATATTATGCTGTGGTCAAACCATTAAAATAAAATAAAATGAAAATAAAAGTGTTAATGCACCTTTGGGCAAAAGTAAACATACATTGTGTACATGCAACTATAACGAAAAAAAATGTTAGGGCAAGATCAGCACTTTTCCTGAGAACGCAAAACAACAAATAAACAAACAAGTAACGAGGTATAGACAGTACTTTCTTCTTCCTTCCAAAAATTTGTACAGTCCTTGATTATATATATGTAGTTAGCCAGTGACATGTTAATGTTGGTTTATACCAGCAACATTTCAGAGAGGATATTATGATGGAATATCAGTAGTCCACAGTACAACTGTGCCACTCTGCTATATACTCACCCATGCTCACCACTTTTTATGCACTTTTCATACACTGCCCTGCAACATGTAGTGCATATAAGGTATACCTGTACCAAACTTCACACAAGAAGACATCTCCAAGCAAATCTTTGGGGGAAAAGTTGTAATGTTTTATGACTGGCCCCCAAGAACTGATAGTCCCCAAGGATCTGCTTGGAGGTTAACATAGTGTGTCAAACTGCAACAAATAATGCTGTGTACCTAAACCCACATTTAGGTTCAGGTCCAGATTCAAGTCCAGAGGTTTAGGTTCAGTTCCGGACTCATAAGTACGGACCTAAACCCACGGCATATACAAAATTGCATGTTGGCAACATTGCAATGTTATTTTGGAAAAACTTTGGCCACATAACATGGAGGCCGACATGCCTCAATGTTTTCTTCATTTTGCAGCACAGATTTTGCAATCTTTTGAGGGTTTTAAGTGGTTTGGAAAGAAAAGGGGTATGTGACATGTTTTTTTTTTGTAATAAGTCCAGAATCGGTTCTTGACTTTTAGGCTTTTTTGGACTTGAACCTAAACATTTTTACAAGTCCGGAACCAGTCCAGCGAACCGGTACACAGCACTAGCAACAAACCATTGACTTAACACAGTTACACACTGTACACTGTCTCCATCATAATTTCCTCTTCTGCGCCTTCGTCCGCGTGCCTTCCGCCGCGGGCCCCCTCCTCCCTGCTGCACACGCGCTTCAGTCGCTCCTTACACCCCCGCTTCCCGCGCGCGTCTCTCTCCGCCTGGAAACGGTACTTCCTGTCCCTCCCGATGTACAGGAACCAGACCAGACAAGCCGAGGCCGCCCCGAGGAACAACACGATGGTTAGAGAAGAGTACACCACCTCCATGTCCACCTCTGTGCCTGGTGTACCCTGCAGGATGTGCTGGTAGCCCAGGATGATGTTGGTCAGAGCCTCCATGGTCCGGTTGTTCTCCAGGGCGTCTCTGTTGTCACGGTGAACCTTCCAGACATCCTGGTTGGTCAGTTTGAGCTCGGCGGCGTCGCCACGAGCCGCATACACCTGTAGGTTATACCCAACAATAAAAAACATAGTTTACTGCAGCTGACAGAATAAACATGTGTAACCTTTTTAGAAAATAGTAACACCACTACAAAGAAAATAGTAACACCACTACAAAGAAAATAGTAACACCACTACAAAGAAAATAGTAACACCACTACAAAGAAAATAGTAACACCACTACAAAGAAAATAGTAACACCACTACAAAGAAAATAGTAACACCACTACAAAGAAAATAGTAACACCACTACAAAGAAAATAGTAACACCACTACAAAGAAGATAATGTAGTGGACTGCATCATTAAAATATTGATAATATTGGCTGATTTAAAAGAATGCTGCCTCATGTCCCATCCAAAGGAACATCCCTACCTAAAGCTATAGGCTCGCATTTTCACTTAGGTGAGGAAATATGTGACAAGTGCCTTAGGGACCTGCTAGGGATTCGAACCTAGAACCTTCATATCCTGAGTCAACATCCCTAACCACAAGACCATCTTGCTACCTAACTTAGAGAGTTGTATTATTATATCGTATTATTGTATTGTATCATAGAGTCAAGTCAAGTCTATAGTCAGGTAGGACGTCCATCGTGTTTGGACTGCTCCTTATCTAACTCCTTTTCACCCAACTGTAATGCAGGGTTTGAAGTTCATTTTCGGGAATAGGTGCACTGATGCACCCAACTTAAAAAATTAGGTGCACAAAAATTTTTCTGGGTGCACCCTATAAAACTTGAAATAAAATAGAATGAGTTAAGATTGTCAGCAAAAACTAATTACGTTTTGTTTCTAAAGGAAAGTACTTTTAATAATCATTTTATTATTATTCTGACACTTAGATGTTAAGAATATGATGTATACTTGTCTATTATAAATCTAACATCTAAGATGTAAACCTACAAAAACATTTGGGTGCACTGGCGCATCCAGAGAAATAGATTGGGTGCACAGCTCTTAGGTTGGGTGCACTAAGGTGCACATGCACCCAGTATTTCGAGCCCTGTAGTGGGTTTGTGTGGATGGTCTAAATTTGTTTGTTTGTTTGAACCATTCTGATTTCTTTGATTAAACCAAATTTGATCTGTATTTGACAGGATGGTTGTGACCACCCCCTACATGACCTTGTCCCAGTCTATAGAGCTAATGCTACTGCACGCTCTCTTAGAAAACACCATCTATCTCCATCCCCCCAGCCAGAACAAAAAGACTTCAGAACTGTTTCCTATATCAGTCTATCAGATTCTACAGACTGTAAAATCAGAACTTGTTATGCCTGGAATGTACAGTTTCATATTAGTAGTATGTAAATGTGTGTATGTAATGCAATGTAATGTTATGTGTTTTTTAATGTTATTGATTGTAAATACCAATGTCATTCAGGCAACACTATATACTGTATGTCTGCAATGTTGGTATAATAATAAAGAATGGGAGAAAATTGGACGTACCCTCTGAGATGACTGACAGTAGACCAGCACCACTCCCCCGTCACAGTCGCCCGGGTCCCACAGGTGCAGCAGTACCTGGCTGAACCGCCGGATGGCGTCCCTGTCACGTTCTCTGTTCAACAGGAAAGAAATACCACAATCTTAGCCTTTATTTTTTTTCATACAGAAGTCCAATTGGTGTCACAGCATTGAGTGAACTTTCACAAAGCAACTTTGTCATGTGTGGGTCAAAGTTGCCAAAGTTTCACGTTTGAGTTTGATATGTGTACCAATACTGGGCTTGAAATACTTTTTTCTACATAGCTGTGCTGGTGAAGGTAGCAAATTTTGGTCAAATTGCTGGTAGAAACAGGTTTTCTTGAATCAATACAATGGGAAAGGCTGGGGGAAAATTACAGCAACTGCTTTGAGTGAATTATTTTCTTCTGAACCATTTTGAGGTGCAACTCTTTTCAAGTAACATTAAAAATTACCTGCATCAGACTTATTTATCTGCATCACTTGTTTAGTAAACATGTCAAGTATCTGTATCTGTACAGCCGGAATAACCACCCTTTCGTGTAACACACCAGCTTTGCAGGCACGTGGCACGGCAGCAGCTGGCTACATGGCATGAAGGCATGGCTTTTTCTTGTTCTATTCTGGGCTGGTGTTAGGTACTTAGTAGTTGGTAAGTCCACCAGTTTATCAGTCATTTTGTACATCATGCATAGTGTGGACATTTTTTCTTCTGCCTTCCAGTAACACCCACTGTCGGTTTCTTTTCATTTCCGTAACACTAGCACCTCTTTAATAGTGAGGTTAGTACTCTGTTTTTCAGGCACTTACCCAAACATCTTGACAATGTCAGGAACCAGTGCCACAGCTATGGTGTAGCCGGGGAACTCCGAGGACTTGTTGACAGAGCGCTTCCTCACGTCCCTCTCCGTACGGTGCTGCGGCACGCACGGCGTATCCGTACTCGTGGACACGTTCCCCAGGAGCTCCGACAAGAAGTCAGCTGTATGTCAACAGACAGGCAGTAAAAAGATCAGGTTTATGTGTTACTCATTTGCATACTTGGGAAAGTTCAATGGTCCCCTAATTGAACTTTCCCAAGTATGCAAATGAGTAACACATAAACCCTAATATGATTTGTTGTTGTGGTACCACTGATAGGCTACATCATCAATACTGGACTTGGATTTTTTTCCAATATTGAGAGGGGCTCATTTATGGGTAACAGAATTTCTGTATCATCTTGACTTAAGATATGTTAATTTTGCTAATCAAGTCTTGCCAATCATCTTTCCAGTTCTTGATATTTCTTCGGACAGTAAATTCAATCAAGTGCAGTAAGCAGAGCAGAGAGAAACTGGCACCACTGCTCGTAAATAAGGTTCTTTTGAGAAGCATGCAACACATAATAATCGTGACTACATACAATAGCAAGTTATTATGTTTACCGCAGGAAAACAATAATGTTTTTGCTACGTTTCTTCTTCTCCAAACAGTGACCTCTGACGTGACTGAACCAGACTGTCTCTCACCATGGTAACTGGTGTTGGGTTACATAATGTTGCAATTTTATAGTAGGAGGGATTTAGACTCCTGTCGTTCATCCTCAAACAAACAAGCAAACAAACCATCAGACTCTGTCAGAATACTGTTGGGATCACACAGCCACGAGGCCTGCGGTCTGCCACACTGGACCCACTGGAGCTGGGGGTTAGGGTAGATCTCCACGCTCCACTTGGACGGCAGGGCCGTGCCGGGCGGGATCCCCGGCATCACCACACCCGGAGGCATCCCAGGAAATCCAGATCCAGCGTTGTGTCCCGGAATGGAGAATCCAGGTGGGATCTGTGGGATCCCTGACCCTGGGTTCTGCTGTCCAGGGATGTTGTACCCAGGTGGGATCTCAGGTAATCCGGATCCTGGATTCTGTTGTCCTGGATTAGCATACCCTGGTGGGATCTCAGGTAATCCAGATCCTGGATTAGCATACCCTGGTGGGATCTCAGGTAATCCAGATCCTGGATTCTGTTGTCCTGGATTAGCATACCCTGGTGGGATCTCAGGTAATCCAGATCCTGGATTTTGTCCTGGATTAGCGTATCCTGGTGGGATCTCAGGTAATCCAGATCCTGGATTCTGTTGCCCAGGTATCGGGTAACCTGGTGGGATCTCAGGTAACCCGGATCCAGGATTTTGTTGCCCAGGTATGGGGTAACCTGGTGGTATATCTTGTGGATTCGGGTACATCCCTCCCACAGGCTGGGAACTGTCGGTTGGCTGTCCCTCTCCTCGAGCTGACCTATCAGGGTACAACCCATCGGGCTGGTCTTCCGAAACATCCGACGTCGGCGTAGGATCCTCTGGAACCTTCCGAGCCCCAGAGCCAACGGGAGATCCCGTCATCTTTTCGTAGACCGGGATATCCGGCGCGTCCTGTGTGCCCGTCCCAGCCCTGCCTTGTACCGGGGCCTCCTGATACTTCCCCAGCAAGCTTCCAAGATCGGAACGCGACCTTCCAGTTCCACCACCCAAGCCCTCCACGTCTTCTGGTTTAGGGTTCGTTTCCTGGATATCGTGATGGCGGGAGCCTTTCTTGGGAGTCCCGTTGACCCGCGAAGGTAGGGTGGCCTCGACCGGTTCAAATGAGGAGGTGTATGAGACGAGGCAGCTCAGGAATATGACACAGACAGTGAGAAGGATCCTGTGTACTGCCATAGTTGCAGTGTTCCTGCTACAGTATACTGCCCTGTAAAGTAATACGTCCAGACATTTAAAATTTGTGTATTACAATACATAGCTGGGGAGGAGAGTCAATGTACTTAGCATAAAAAAGCTTGGCTCACATACGACCCTACAATACATTTCATCTTTCATTACTTTGATCAAGCCCATTCTCAAGATATAAAAACATACTAGTATGTCAGCTGATTTGAAGGTAATACTGTATATCTTGAAACATGTTGCAGTGTTATATTTCTTAGTAGGACTCTGGGAAAGGGAGGTTTTCACTGTGTTTTAAATCAGTATATTAGTACAGTAACTAATTTACAAAACCTGAGGAGATATTCTAAAGTAAACAAAATACATTAGCTGAGATGCCAGACTGTTTCCACTGCCTACGTACATTATACATATAATAGTATATCTATCTACATGTAATTAACCTCTACTTCTAGGCATGTGCTTGCAATAAACCTATTGTTGTTCACCTCAGCAAAATTGTACTCATACATAATATATAACGTTACATTAAAGCAGCCAATTGGAACCAAAACACATTATGTTTGATCAGTGTGCTAGTCCAAACTGAAGTTTTTGTCCGTCATCTCAATTTGTTCAACAAAAATTACAGTACCAAAAAAACCGAAAATTTTTAAATCTTGACCCCCTGAACAGCTACACATGTATTTCCTGCATTTTGAGGGGAAAATTTTGCTGGCAGACCGAGCTTAGATTAATGACATCTCTTTCTTTCAATATCTTTAATGGCCATTTTTGTCTGTCAAAGATGACTCAGATTTTTGTCCGTCATGAGCGGAAAAATTCTGTCGAAGGACAGAAAGACGGCCACCAGCTAAAATACTATATGTTTTGTAGCCTGGGTACCAAACCTTTGGTCGGCCTTGGCGATAATTTTTCGGCCCTGGCCTTTACCAAGCAAAGGCGGACCTAGCTGGTTTCCCTGTATCTGCTGACTTCCTGTATTACGCTTGGTCTTCTTTTGAAACCTAAAAACCCCCGAAGCGCGGTAATTGAGGCCTGGTTGGCGGGCCCAAATGCTCTCGGCGCTAAAAGAATAGCGTTGAGCTCATGGCGGTCTGTTACCAGGCTACTATGTTTGATTCAGAACCATGTGACTGGTTTCCTTTGCTGTGCTGGTGAGGTCAGTCTGAAAGGGGAACCAGGCCTTAGCAACAAAGCTATATATAGATCTTGGAGCCTCATTATCATCAAAAGCAGTAACATCTGCTTTCAACAATGGGACAGCTTAGTATTATTGTATATATGAACTATCCCCACCATGCTTTCTTAAAAAAATGATACGGTGACTGTATCATACATGTATATCTGGGCTTGAAATCCTATATATATTTTTTGCAGGTATCACCTACGCCAGACAAATTTTACCTGAATTTAGGATGCATGTATCGTAAACTAAAATGTATCGTAAACTAAAAACGTTTGCCATTAGTATTACACACACTGCATTTGTTATATACTTCTGGTGGTAACAGTCGATTCAGTAAATAAAGATCTACATACACCCTCAAGTACGGTGTAAATAAAAATTTAAAACCCAGTATATGGCCCAGTGCAGGTTAGGTGCAGTGCAGGTTAGTGTTATGTTTGTATTCCTGGCTGCAAGGACGTTATGTATATTGTCCTTGATGGCTGCCATTCGAATGGCCCAAGGTACCGCACAAGTGGTCTTTACAAATTTATGATAAGAGTATTTAAGATCAAGAATTTTAAGTTATCACAATCAGATAATTATTAAAGAATGACTGTTATTAGATTTAATGACATGCCCTTTTAACATGTCCAGGAACTGGCTCTGTTCTTGCACAAAAAAAGCTAGTTTTATTCATGGAGGTACCTCCATGGTTTCATTGTCTGATGTTACTAACTATAGCTTTAATATGCCGTTTTTATAGTTGATCTATTGCACATAATTCGCCGATTCTGTCTAAACATAACGGGTTGCATTTCAGCAGAAAACAATCATTTTTCTGCGCTTTTCCCGACGTCTGGTCGCAATCTATTAACAAAATTTAAAGCCCGGAGTACGTGACTGCATCCATGAAACAAAACAACAAGACCAGTAAAGCAAAATAAGCCCCCCTCCCCACACAATCTGACTTAATTTTTTTGTCGTCACACTGGTTGTTTTTGCGGCGTAAAACTCACCTTTAAACGGCGTTAGCTGGTGTCTTCCTTGCTTCTGATGTGGAAAATTCAGAAATCAAAACACAGACGAAGTATGAAAAATATCAGCAAGGCCGATATGACATAGTAGAAGAAAATGAAAATCATGCTCGGAATAAATTTGCGTGCGACTGAGAGCGTTCAGCTCTTTCGCAGTTCCCCTTTTCAAGCCGGTAACGCGATCTAACCCTCAGCTCACTAACCCGCCACTACCAACTAGAGTATCCTTTGTATTTAACGATAACAAAGGTGTTTAGAAAAGGTAGACTGACCTTCAGGTCATGGGACCGACAGAACGCCAACCTCGGGCCCAGGGCTCTTCGCGAACAGCTCTGGGATCGAGAACTCAAGACCGTGCCAATATTTTCACGGGGGTGAATCTTTCTTATTACTGCTGTCCTGAATCTAATGGTTTTACAGAAAAGCCCTTTGTATAAAGCAGGTTTTAAACCATAGAAGACTGTGTTTTATATACATTTTTGTGATGTAATGTCTGATATTTGATTATCTTACAATATCATATTGTTCTGAAATTTATGTTGTAATGGGATATGATATAACGTTGATATGATATGAGATAAGGTAATAAATAATGCTTAATACCTTGAAAGAAAATTTCACTACATCATTGTTGCTTCAATGGGACAGGGCATGCCTCATATGAATAAAACACCCCCATGATGTGAATGCACCTGTCCCTGTACATTGACCCATCAGTCCAGTTCTTTGGATCCACAATCAGCTGATCACTGCCCAGTGTGTGTGAGTGTGTGCAGCAGGCATGGCTACAGAGTTTGTGCAATCCTTGCTCCTCCCTGCCTCCAGTCATCCGGTTTGGGTGGCAGTTGTCACTGTCTTATCGCTCTTCATTTTGAGAAGTCTTCTGAAAAAGTTACTGAAACAGAAGATAACGAACTTTCCAAGAAAGTTCCCAGAGGATAGAGAAAAGGTAAGCTAGGTATAAAGTCCAAGGTACAGCTGGTACAGTGTGGGATAGCCCTGATAATGTTCTGATTAACCCCTATATCTGGTGCCCCTTTTAATTTTGTTCTGACAGGTATTGGGTAAAATGGGTCATATAAAATGTAATCAAGAAAAGGCTCAACCTGTATGCTTGACAATGTATAAAGGATTTAGCTCAAATGTGTCTAACTGTTAAGCACTGTTAAGAGGGCCTGCAAGAGGGAGTAGTGATTACGAACTACGCAAAATTTTCGCTGCCTATTACGAATTACGTTAAAGTCTCAGAGCTGATTACAACTTTACAATTTGCGGCTAATGCCCAATTACGAATTATGTTGATTTTTGCGGAGGCTGCCTACGAATTACGAAGTCTAAAACGGCCTGATTTAATACGCCTTACGAAAAAGGGCTTGCAGGCCCTCTGTTACTGTGTTAGCTTTTATTAAAAGTAATACCTCTTTACTTCTGGGTATAGAACTACTGTACATGACTTGTATAAATTAATGTTTTAAGTGGCTCAGAGATGTGGGTTTGTGTCCTTTTTTGTCCAGACAGAGTCTAGGTTGACAGCACATGGATGGGGAGATTGACAGGCAAAATCTACATTCACAGGTCAAACACTGAACTCAAATAGTAGGTTAACAGCACATGGGTGGGGAAGAATAACAGGAAGAATTCACAGGAGATTAAAAAGGTCAGACACAGGAAATGGGGTGAAATTGGAGGCCCAGAAAATCCTTTTAACACTCCTGGAAGCATGAAACATCTTACTATTTTTGTTCATACAATATGCAGAAGACCAAGGCCTTCTATGATGTAGCAGTGGTGGGTGCAGGGCCAGCAGGGTCAACCCTGGGCTACTACCTGGCCAAGGCTGGCCGCAACTGCCTCCTGTTGGAGAAGAAGAAGTTCCCGCGGGACAAGTACTGTGGAGACGCCGTGTGTAAGACTGCCATCGAGATTCTCATGGACATGGGAATCTACGAGAAGCTGATCAAGGAGAACAAGGCCCGCGTGGTTAGTACCTAGCCTCCTTCGCAGACTTGTGAGGCGGTGGCATTAATTTTTTTGGAGGGGTGACACGAGTTACATTGTATGCCATGGAGGGACGGTTTTGCCGCCAAGGGAGTTTGCCGGGGAGAGAAGGTTTCCCTCGGCAGCAAAACCGTTCCTCCGTGGCATAACTCGCATCGCCCTCCACCAAAGAAATTAATGCCCCCTCACAAGTCTGCGAAGGAGGCTAGTTAGTACCGGACCCGATTTACATGCTGACAAAATGCTGACTGTATGAAAGATGCGTATGTCTTGAATGTTTCCTGCATTTAAATCGACCTGCTTTGACATAAGTCAAGCATGTATGTTACCTTGAGGGCCGGTGTGTGTACAGAGTTTTCGTACTGTCAGGTTTTTGCTTGTATGTATCAATTATATATATTAGATCTACATCACATACATATAACAATCAGCTACCTGGTAGTGATGGAAATGATGACGTAACAGTAGTTTGCTTGCAGTTCTGTTGTTATTTCTGACAGGATGTTAGGTCAGAGGTCTCTAAAAAGGTTATCTCATTTCCTGTCTTCAATTTTCTACCATGGGAGCCATGGGAAGAAAATTAAACAGAATTAGCAAAAAATTCAGAATAATCAATATTAAGCAAGGAACGAACGCACAAAAACTCAAGAGATTTGCATCCAGTCCATTTGTAGCCAATCAGCGCGCTCCATGTTTTGATATTCGGGAACATTTGCAACTGCTTGCAATCCTCCCATGTTCTGCTAGGGGGCGCAATTTGGCCTGACCATTTTTTTCCACCCCTGAACCAGTCTGGACCGCTTTTTCCACCCCCCTAACCGGTCCAGACTGGACCGGTTTTTCCACCAACCCTCTAATTGACTTCTTGCTACCTAGGCTGATGCAGGAGGCCTGTGCAGCCCCGGGGGTCTCAGCTACATTGGTCGCAGCAAGGAGATACTTGGAGAAATCCCAGCAGCCCTTGCCTGCAAGAGATGGTGGCTTGACGAAGCCATTGCCATGGCAGCAAAAAGGTAAAAGTCGCAAAGGAATCATCATTCAGGCTGTATCAAGTCATCTATATATAAATGGTTTATTTGCAAATTGACATAAAACTAAAACAACATTGCAGCCTGATAATACAATGTATTGTACCAAAGGCTGAATTACGTAGTTTTAGGGAACACTCAAAGATAGATCTTTAATATTTACAACTATAAGTCATAATTTTGCAGAGAATGAATTTTGAGTGGGGGTTTTCACATTGTTTTTAAGTTTGCAGTTGAAACTACAGCATAGTAGTAACACATTGAACACACATATTTGTGGTGTCGTGCACCTCACCACAAAAATAAAATCACTGCAAATAGTTCAAGATTTACCATGGCTGTTCCAGGGCTGGTGCAAACTTGCAGGAGAACAGTGGAGTAAAAGATGCAGTGTTCGATGCCAAATCCGGGCTGTGGACAGTCTACCTAGAGGACAGCGACAAGACTTACAAAGCCAGGTGACATCACAGTCTACTCTTTCATTGTGTTATCATTCTAAGAACAATTGACATTAATTGTCAAGCACTCTTACAAAGAAATTCCTGGATACTTATTTTGATATACCCCAGTCTCAAGGACTAAAGCTGAGCATGATGCAGCATAGTCACTGGGTGGGAGTAAGTGGGTGATACGTGGAGGAATTCAGGAAGTGTGTGATACCCAATCGAATTACTGTTAACATCATACAATCTCCTGAACAGTTGCAAACCCAAAAACTTTCTAGTGGTCTGAAATCTCTGATTACTAATGTCTCTTCGTGGTTTGAGTTCAAGATAACTTGTGTAAACATACATTGTATCTTTAAGTGTAGTATGAATGTATATCTGTTGAACTCTGTATTACAGAATCCTTGTGTGTGCTGATGGTGCACCCTCTAAACTCGCCACAAAACTTGGCATCGTGAAACGCCCCCCTGACGGATCGTGCTCTCGCGCCTACGTGGAGAGCGGCACCCACAAGTTCAAGGCAGATGGTTGTATATTCTACCATAAAGACATGTTACCTGGTAAGTCATTTACATACACTGTACTCTCAAGTTTCTATCTTTTCCATAAAATTACACTGTACTCTCAAGTTTCTATCTTTTCCATGGAGACTTGTTGTTTTTACTCTGTTTCCTCTTCTTCCATTCCAAACAAATAAGGTCAGCGCCAAATGTCTGTCACCATCATAACTGGTGCTGTAGCAGACACCCTGTGGTATTGGATTACATTATGTAGCAAGTGGCAGAACAGAGTTGAATGATTACTATATAGTATGTCATTGCAGTGCAATTACAAAATTAATATGATATTGTTTCCCTACAGGTTACTCTGCACTTTTCCGTCACCCAAACAATGAACTGAACTACTGTGTGTACCTCATTCCTGGCAACCCCAAGGTCAGTCCACAAATTTTCATAGTGTACTCTGACATTAGTTACATAAATTCCATTTAAGTCACAGAACATGCCACCTCAATATTTCAGACTTTCCAAAGTAGAGATGTTCTTACTAATAGGTATTGTGCCTAACGTTTGCATTTCACCATAGAATTATAGATTTTATAATAATTTCATTTCCTATTTCTTGTTAGGTCACCAACGATGATCTACCCTATTGGCACGACTTTCTGATGAAACAAGACCCAAACATCAGCAAGTCTCTGGGTCCTGGGGCCAAGCTAGAGAGGATGAAGGCTGGTAAGCGAGCAAAGACAATGTCCATATTCTGATATAATAAAAATGTTCAAAATAAATAGCTGCGTTATGTCTTGGTGAGACCTCAAAATGATTAGATTTTAAGCTTTCTAGCAGGCAGATCTTCTATAGCTTTGATATCTTGTGATCTGAATGTGTCGGGGTCACAAATATTTGGATGCATATGGTAGATAGCTTTTGTACTTAGGAAGAAGTGACATACGTTTAGAACACCTAGCAGCTTGTTTTGGAACTGTAGGACATTTTATGAACAGGCTAACATCTTGTCAACACCACAGGGTCATGATCAAGACTTCAACCTGTAAGTTATACAGTAATCTGAATTATCATATAGCTGGGTGACGTTGACCAATCAGAAGGCTCCATTCCACATTCCTTATGATGCCGTAATGTCACAAATAGAGTCAAAATCGGGTATGTATTCATCCCAATCCATACATTAAACAACCCTATAATCACCCGTATATGACCTCAGGTGACCCAATAGAACACGGCTCTAGTTCTAAAAAATCCAAAAATAACTTCAGTAGTGTTCCAATGACCTCGGGTGACTCCCATAAGAACACCTGTTCCCTACCTGTGACCCAGATAGAAGACATAGAACGTGAACTCTACCCAGTGACCTCAGGTGACTCCAGATGGAACTATGTTCTATTCAGCATGTGCAACGGGTAAATTGTACATTGTGTCACTTACTGCATCAGTTTGGATAGGCTATCGTGTAAGGTATATGATAATAGCGTTAATGGCCCGCCTCGAGGTGAATATGGTGTGATAAAGCCTTGTCAGTTGCTATAACCACCTCATAAAGCCACCTCGTTCGCTGCGCTCACTTGGTGGCTTTATTCGGTGGTTATAGCAACTGCGCTCACTTGGTGGCTTTATTCGGTGGTTATAGCAACTGACAACGCTTTATCACACCATATTCACCTCGATGCGGGACATTAACCCTTAATTGTACGTCGATGAAGGTTAGACATCCAGGTAATAAAATACGCCAAAAAGCAGTTACTCAAGCAACTGGATATGATTTTGGAAACGTCAGACGTTTCAGCTAGTATCCACTAGCTTTCGTTAGTGACTGAGATACCAGAGGAGAAATGCAGGTTTATAAGCACAAACTATTCATTGATATGCAAATCTGAATTGTTGTTGTGTGTAGCCAGCCTGCGGCTTGGTGGGGAGCCTGTCAGTCACAGGGACCATGTGTTGGTGGTCGGAGATGCTGCCGGAATGATCGATCCCATGACAGGTGGAGGATATTTTATTCTGTTAATATTTCTCCTGTATAAGACATCGTAAACCTTTCTGTGCTTTATGTGTTCACTTTAACAAGAAGATATCTGTTTTTGTGAACTTGTTTTATTGATCATTGTAATACCTCTCTATGCATTTTCCCACCGGCACCCGGCCAAGAGTCAACTTCCTACTGGCCTCTAGCCCTGGCCAGCAGCTTCTGGGACCTAACTCCCTGTGTCTGACCTTTTGAGGTCTGGTGTTAGGTAGTAATTGACCCACCTTAACACATGCATTAATAACAATGCCTGTTTTTACAGACAGGTAAAATCATAGGGCCCCCTCCTTTGTTTTGTACTGTCATGTTGATGATCAGCTGTATACAAAGTCTCCATCCTATGACCTTAACCTTGTCAACTTTCGACCTTGCAGGTGAGGGCATCCACCATGCAATGGAAGCTGGCAAGATGGCTGCCAAGTTTATTGATGAGGCAATGTATCATGGGAACTATGACAAAGATGTGATGAGGCTCTACCATGATGCCTGGATGGACAAGTTTGGATCAGACTTCAAGTGGTAAGATTTTTGGATATTAAAACATTGTCTTATATAACTTTACCTTTCCAAAGGAAAAAGTGACAATGTCGGTGCATACATGTACATGTATCCATGTATGTGTCTTCACTTTTACAACCAGTTAAAGCTGATTGTGTGGCCAAAAAGGCTCTATACAATCTTCAGAACACTTCAAAGGTTATATACCAATTTTGTTTGTTTTGCATGACTGGTAAACCACCTTTAGGTGTAAGATGTTAATTTCATAAAGTTAGGTACAAGCTTCCTAAGACCAGACTGTAAGGTTTGATCCACTCACACCAGGATGGACCCCAACTTTTTGATTAAGTTGAAGAAGTTTGGTAGGATTTTTAATGTTTAAGTTGTGGCTCTCTCGTCTTACATTCCATCCAAGGAGACGTCCCTAACTGAAGCTAGGTACTCATTTTCAGTCAAGTGAGGAAATGAACTTTGAACTTTATTTGATAAAAACAACATGGCAGGAGAAACTCCTGAATTGTGTTGTAAATTTACAACAGTCTAAAATTCAACAGACAACAGTCTAAAAATCAGTGATATAGATAAAATGCAATAAGTCATCATTAATTAAAATATAGTACATATAATGTGGTGACATGAATATACAATTTTAAGACAAGTTCACATACAAAATGATATCAAATAATCTGCAGAAGAAGAGTCTGAAACTCAATTTACAACTGTTTCTGCTGCATGATTTTAAATTTTACACAAATGGGTGTAAAGCATGTGCCTTTTACAAGTGCACAACATTGGGGCCTGTCAAACCCGGAACTAGTGATGTATGTCACATTCTATCTTCCCTTGTCTGTAGGTCCTTTGCAATCTGCCAGCTCCTGTACCGATTCCCGATCCTGCTGGACGCCGCCACCGCCGCCATCGCTCGCAAGGGAGACAAGTTCCTGGCGGCCTGGGCGGACATCATGACGGGGCGCGTACCCAAGATTCACCTACTGCGTCCCGAGTTTGTTATCGTTATAACGTTTGAGCTGGTCAGTCTGATCGTCAGACGTGCTCTCGGCATCGAAAAGAAGAGGGAGAAAAAACTAGAATAGTACACTATGAGTGAAACATGTCTTTTGATTGTTACCGGTATTGTAAATCATGGCCACAGCCACTGAATTCAAGACCAATATACAATAAAATAGTTTGAAAAACAGAACAGTTGTTTTTTTAAATCATGTAAAAAATAAATAGTACATATCGACTAACAGTACCTATCGACTAACTTTAGCTAATCCCAGTGACTAATGTACACACGTATTTATTCCCTGAGCAATTGACTTGAAAAACTCCTTGAGACATCAGCTTGTTATGGCAACACAAAAATTTTCTACTTCATACAACAGAAGACAACTTCCAAGTAGATTTTTAGATTGATGTTTGATAAAAAATTAAAAACATGTAAAGCCACCTCATGGGATTGTTTTGTAGATTCGTCATTTTACCTAATGTTTGCTTTTGCTGACTACTAGTACCTTTTTACTTGGACATTGTCAGGTCTATATTCTTTTGAAGTGTAATACTAGAAGGAGAAAGACAATCAAGTGAGTGAAGATGTGCCTTCTTGAAGAGATAATCTTTCTTCCCAAGTGCTTTTAAGATAAATGGCATGATTTTTAATAAATGCTACCCGGTATGTGGCTTAGTGCTCCAAATACAAGTATCAGGTATGCCAAAGGGTGAAGTCACTGAAAAGTCAGGTTACCCACACGTCCTTTTGGTATCTGTTTGCATGTTCTAACTCCAGTAGGAACGTCCTGGCCTGTTCAGAGTCCATGTCTCCCTGTTCCTGACATATGTCCGTCAGTGCCTGGTGCACATCATGTGCCATGTGTCTGGCATCGCCACACACGTAGATGTAGATTCTATGGGGGGAAACATCATCAATTGCAAGAAATCAAAGATTTCAGAACTTAATGTTGTTTGACATAATAATCGGGTATCGCACACAGTGCACCACTTCCTGAATTCCTCCACGTACCACCCACATACTCCCACCTGTTGCATGCTGGGTCACCTTCAGGCTTGACCTCTTCGTCAATCAACTGTAACCAAATATCTACCCACTCTCCCTACAAACATCGATGCTACTTGTCAGCACACACAAGCACACACACGAACCCACCCAAAACAATACCTAACACTGTATTAACAGAAAGGTGCAGTCTTGTATTTCAGTAGAGTTTAAAGAACAATTCAGAAGTACCTGAAGATGTCTCCAAATTTCCTTGGCATCCGTCCTAAGCAGATCTTGCACATAAACTTTCTTGTCTTGATCTCTGGAGAAGGCAACTCTTAGTCTCAAGCTCCCATTTTTGGCCCAAGTTTCTGGAAATTTCAATTGGACATGAGTAAAAGACTGTGTTACTTTTTTAAAAAGTTTTAGATAGGTTTCCAGTGCACAAAATGGGGATGATACAAGATTGAGGGGGGATGGCACATAAGCACCAAGGCAGGGGTTCCAGGATAGTACAGGGTGAGGGATGGCACATCAGCACCAAGGCAAGGGAAGGTACAGGATAGTACAGAGTGGGGAATGGCACATCAGCACCAAGGCTAGGGATGGTACAGGATAGTACAGGGTGGGGAATGGCATATCAGCACCAGGGCTGGCACATCAGCACCAGGGCTGGGGATGGTACAGGATAGTACAGAGTGGGAGGATGGCACATCAGCACCAAGGCTGGGGATGGTACAGGATAGAACAGGGTGGGGGCTGGCACATCAGCACCAAGGTTGAGGATGGTACAGGATAGTACAGGGTGGGGGATGGCACATCAGCACCAAGGTTGGGGATGGTACAGGATAGTACAGGGTGGGGGATGGCACATCAGCACCAAGGCTGGGGATGGTACAGAACAGTACATGGGGAGGATGGCACATCAGCACCAAGGCTGGGGATGGTACAGGATAGTACAGGGTGGGGGATGGCACATCAGCACCAAGACTGGGGATGGTACAGGATAGTATAGGGTGCGCAGTATAACCTTCAACGACAGGGTACTGAATAAAGTAGCCAGCCAGGCAGACAGAGCACCAACGCCGAGGTCTCAACCTTCCAGGCCCACGTCTAGGAGGAGGTCCGCGTCCAAGTTTCAGGCGCTCGACAGGGAGGCTTTGCGTAATAGATTGCTTCAGAAATACGCACCATGCGACAAGACTGGAACGGTATCTGGTGACCGACGGGAAGACGGGACCGAAGAGACAGTCGTGGTGAAGAAAAAGCCGACGGGTTTAAACAAGAACATCCATGGTTTCGACACGCTAGGTATGGAGACCAGTAAGGGCGTGAGGCGGCTCGGAAGGAACATTCATGGATTTGGTAGCTGAATGCACCCTTCGGCCTGCCATGCCCGATGAGCTAGTTGTGTTGTAAGAAGTAGTCTCCACAACTTGTTTCATCCTAGCTTGTTCATACAATAGCCATTTGTCTATATTTCATTTCATATTCACAAAATACATACTTTGTAGACTGTACTCCATGCACTCTACATAACACTTCTGTCGACGGCTCAAATTTTCAAATTCACAAATACTCCTGATATACACAGTACTCCACTTGAAACTACTATGTGATATAATAGCTACTAAATTCTATCTATTGTATCGATTTATTTCTCAATTTACAAAATGTACAGGCCATGCAAAATACTGCCCATACACTATGCCTGTCAGTGTTCTTAGAGCAGGTAGGAATGGTACGCGCGAGGGATTGTACGTCGTCAACATCACACGATAGCTGAGGGTCGTGCCTCGTGAACTACTGTATACTGATTGACGTCGTCTGCTGCATCCATTGTTCGCATGGCGGGCAGCGACTTTGTTGTATCCATTGTTTACATGGTGACCAGAAAATACTAGCATGCACTTTACAAAATGAACAGGCCTTGCAGAACACATCGTTAAGTTGTTTTCTGTCATCGTTATTAAGACTGGAACGGTATCTGGTAACCGACGGGAAGCCAAGACCGAAGAGACAGTCGTGGTGAAGAAAAAGCCGACGGGTTTGAACAAGAACATCCATGGTTTCGACACGCTAGGTATGGAGACCAGTAAGGGCGTGAGGCGGCTCGGAAGGAACATTCATGGATTTGGTAGCTGAATGCACCCTTCGGCCTGCCATGCCCGATGAGCTAGTTGTGTTGTAATAAGTAGTCTCTACAACTTGTTTCATCCTAGCTTGCTCATACAATAGCCATTTGTCTATATTTTATTTCATATTCACAAAATACATACTTTGTAGACTGTACTCCATGCACTCTACATAACACTTCTGTCGACGACACAAATTTACAAATACTCCTGATATACACAGTACTCCAAAACTACTATTTGATACAATAGCTACTAAATTCTATCTATTGTATCAATTTATTTCTCAATTACAGAATGTACAGACCATGCAAAATACAGATCATACATTATTCCTGTTAGTGTTTTTAGAGCGCTAGCGCCAGGGATTGTTCATCATCAACATCACATAATAGCTGAGGGTTGTGCCTCATCAAACTACGTACTGTATACTGTTTTATAACGTCGTCTGCTGCATCCATTGTTCTCGTAGTGAGCAGCGACTTTGTTGTGTCCATTGTTTACATGGTGACCAGCAAACGTGCAATTTACAAAATGAGCAGGCCTTGAGTTGTTTTATGGTAGCGTTATTAGAGTCTTTGAATACACCGTACAGTTTTCTGTCTCCGTTATTTTAATAGAGTATTGCATTTTTATTTTCGCACGGAAATGCATGCAACGCTGAACATGCAGCGCGTATGCATGTACACTGTGAACGTAATTTTACTGCCCATACTTTACGGTCCTTACTCGCACATTAGCTGAGGGCGCTACCTCATCTTGCTAAGTGGTTTGTATCTCCATTCATCACATCTTGGCACGCAGGGCGTGTATTAGTCTGTCAGACGACACTGCTGCTGACGGGTGTACGTACAGAGAGACACCGTCCACGATGTGGTGGTTTTCTACAATCATCCTTGTTCTGTCGGTCTCTCTGGGACACTGCCAACATTTAGGGCGGACGTCACTTCCTTCTACCAGTAAGTAGACAGGGTTTCTGCATACACAGCCGACTAGTGAGACTAAAGTTCTTTGTGGAATGATCAGCATATGATATGTGTTGCCATGTTTGCCCTGGCGTACGATGCTGTTGGTCTGGCAGAGCTCGAAATACCATCAGTCCAGTTGAGATACACAGATATTTCTGATCTCTACCTGCAGCTACATGTAGCCTGTACCAGCAAATGTGTTGGGTTTATGTGTATGTGGATTATTATTTGCTGCATTGACTGTTACCATCTATGAAGTACGCAGAAACATTATATGTGCGGTGCGGTGCCTCTTGGTTCCGAGTCGAGCACTCTGCCGCTACTATACGCCACACGAGTGCTCGACTCGGAACCAAGAGGCACCGCACGTGTGTGAGTGTGTAGTGTATATGTGTGTGTGTGTGTGTGTGTGTGTGTGTGTGTGTGTGTGTGAGTGTGAAGGTATGTGTATATGTACTTGCCCGTGTGTGTGTGTGTGCTTTTATATGTATGTATATGTGTGTGTGTGTGTGTGTGTGTGTGTGTGTGTGTGTGTGCGAGCGCGTGTGTATGTGTATGTGCGCGCGTATAAGTCTGTGTGTGTGTGTGTGTGTGAGTGCGAATGTGTGTGGGCGCACGCGTGTACGTGAATGTTTGTGTGTGTACATGTGTGTGCGTGTATGAGTGTGCGCGCGTGTGAACTTGTGAGTGAGTATTCAGATGTGAAGAAGACACTCCCTAGTTGTTGTATGACTAAGTTCTGTAGCCTAACAGACCTTATAGCTTGGTTATAACCAGGCTATAAGTTCTGTCTACATCTACAAAATTGACCTTGAACAGCTGGAACAATCTCCCCTGGGGCTCTGTAGAACGTTTTTTGTCATGTCATCGGCAATAAAACGCATGATTGACTCAATTATGGGCGTTACCTATGTTTTCGTAGTGCAGCAGAAACTACTGTCCAATTTCACACTTCATAACTTCAAACGGTGACCGGGGGGGGGCATTCCAGTCTGCCAGAGAATCTTTTAAATGACATCTGCAACGTGAAAGTGAAACTTCACGTTAGCTTTTAAGTTTGAGGTCACACTCCTGACAGAGCAAAGGATTACTGCAAAACCAAAGAAGACGGGAACTCAGTGTGTCGTAAAGCACATCGTCTGACCAACAGGGTTTCGGGTTCAGTGTGGCAGCTTTGAAATGAAGTTTATCCATTTATCCTCCTTGGTCAAACCAGTTCCTTCCATACTTTCTACCAGACCCTACATTCGGCTACATACGGAAGAAAGACCAGGCCTGTACCGGCGGGCTGTTCAACATCAGCGACCACGGCAGCACGAACCTGGCCACCTGTGCGCACCTCTGCACGGCCTCGGGATCCTGCGGGGCGTTCGTGCACGTGCCGGGCGACTCCGACAACTCCTGCAGGCTCAAACGGTCCTGCCCGACACCGGCCAACCTCACCGGGGCTGATCTGTACTTCAAACGGCGTGAGTGAAACCCACAGTGTTTGCTTTGTTGTATCAAGCGCTGCAGCGAATCCATGAAACAAATAACCAGTTCTTGACGTTTGTGTTTGGCTTTTGCCATCCATCATTTTCATGCCATCTTGCATTAATCTTATAGTTCCCACTTTACTAATGTTGTTAATATGTACCGATCTGATAGTGATAACTGTGTACTGACCTGTAATTGGCAACTATATATTGATCTGAAACCGGTAATTATGTTTTGATATGATATTGATAACTATGTATTGATTTATTATTGATAAGTATGTATTGATCTGATATTGATAAAATGTATCGATCCATTATTGATAACTATGTATTGATATTGATAGTGTATCCATCTGATATAGATAACAACTTATTGATAACTAAGAATGCCTCCGTTTCAAAGCTCATCCCTGGCCGTACAGCGACGATGAAGGTAAAGCTAATTTTGTATCTTTAGTGTTGGTGGATGTCGATATAGCTTCTGGCTGTTTTTAAATTAGATACTGTAAAAACGGCAGGACTCCAGTTTGATGTAAAAATGTTCTTTGTTTTATTTTTACCTCCGGGGGAGGAGACATCCTTCCGCGGAAGGGTTTTGTGAGAGATTTAGATTTTCATGTTCGCAGCTGTTTCTCGCGTTTGGGTGGACGGATTCTTTTGAGACTCGGTATATGTTTTGCTATTGGGCTGCAGATGATGCACGTTCTTTTGTTTTTATTGTATATGTGTTTTCGGGCGTGAAAATGGTGCCTTTTGGTGCCCCCAAAACACCCCTTTAAAAGTGGTCGCGACCGTTGACCTTTGGCGTGTTTAAGCTATTCTCGGTCTGGTCCACGTATATGACCGCTCACACAGAGGGGTGTCCGGTCTCGATAAATTCTTTGTTTAAAACCCTATATAAAAATATACAATAAAAGTCCGGAGGTATAAAATCTCAGATTTTACTTGTTACTCATAGTTTGCAACGCCACCGCCGGTAACCGCACAGAGGAAGTGTTCACGTGAGTATGCTCGTACTGTCTTCATATAAGGTTAATCTCCGAGCAGATTTCGAGGGCAGACACTATAATTGACCATTTAATAACCAGTTGGCTGGCCAACTGCGGTGTCTTGCCCCCGACGAAATCTGCTTGGAGATTATCTACAAAACGGACTATTGTGTGTGTGTTATAATGTGGTGAAATAGATGATGCCCTTAGGTTTAATACTTCACATCGCAATCGAAAGCAAGAAATAGGTTTCAGACTTGCGCGAGAAGTATGCAGTCCTCTGGCCTGGGTGCCAGACCCACAGCACACTGGACACAAAGTATCTCAGTGAGATACTTTGTGTCCAGTGTACTATGGGTCTGGAACCCAGGCTAGCAGTCCTCCCCATGTTGACCCCTGGCTCTCTGTCAGATTCTGAGACCTTCTGTGACCTCTTGTCACTCTCCCGAGAGTCGTCGATGAATCAGGGACATCCAGGTAAAATCTTTCCCGAGTGAGCAACACTTGTGCATGCCTCTCCAGGGACGGTGCTAATATTATCCTTGGGGGGATTTGTTAGCCTTGATGATTAGAATCTTGTCCGTGTAGGTCATGAAACAGTCTGGTATCCAGATGACTGTCTATTGTTGTGGTCTGCATGGGTCAGGGATAACATGAAATGTTGTGTTTCAGTATCGTCTGTCCTCCTGGCTGTGCATCTGTCGCAGTACCAATCTATGGTGACGGGACCTACAGCACTGTGAGTGTATCTTTGTGATAAGAACAATTAGCAGCCCTGTGGCTGCAAACCAAACTGCTAGATGTGTTTCCCTACCCTTGTAGCCTGGGTGCCAGCCTCCGTAGTTTCCGCCCGCTCCCTAATGTGGTGCCTAGCGACATTAGGGAGCGGACAGAAACTACGGAGGCTGGCACCCAGGCTATTTTGGCATGAGGGAAGAGGTCAGAGTTAGATGAAGTATAACATATAACGATACAGCTTACATTGTAGATCCTGAAAATCCATTGACATATTCTATCCTTAAGTACGCTTCTGTCCCGCGCTGTAGAACTCGCCTGTGTGTAAAGCGGCTGTTCATCACGGGTGGATCATGGACGAACTGGGAGGAGCCGTGACCGTTCTGAAGTTCAGCCTTAACAGACCTACTTCTCGCGCAATTACACACAACGGGGTGAGATCGCTAGGGTGAGTTCAGCCCCTCAGCCTGTCACACATAGCCGACCTGAGGCGACCAGGGCCTTCTCTAGACCATGCCTCTGTCACACAGAGCTAACCATGGCCTCCCGACCTTCTCCAGACCATGGTTGGGAGTTAAGCTCCTGTCACACAGAGCTAACCATGGCCTCCCGACCTTCTCCAGACCATGGTTGGGAGTTAAACCCCTGTCAGACTCACACATAGCCGGCCAGGGCCTCCCAACCTTCTCCAGACCATGGTTGGGAGTTAAACCCCTGTCAGACTCACACATAGCCGGCCAGGGCCTCCCAACCTTCTCCAGACCATGGTTGGGAGTTAAACCCCTGTCAGACTCACACATAGCCGGCCAGGGCCTCCCGACCTTCTCCAGACCATGGTTGGGAGTTAAACCCCTGTCAGACTCACACATAGCCGGCCAGGGCCTCCCGACCTTCTCCAGACCATGGTTGGGAGTTAAGCTCCTGTCACACAGAGCTAACCATGGCCTCCCAACCTTCTCCAGACCATGGTTAGGAGGGTTATATTGAAAGCAAATCGATTGTACCTAGCCAAAGGCTCTGTGGCCCATAAAATAATAATTAAAGCTCGTTGTAGAAAATGTGGCCCTTAGCGTGAAACAAGTGTCAACACTTTCTAAGCTTCGGATCTAGATGAATGTATCCAAGTAAGTGTCCAAGATGTCCTGACAATGTTCTTATTTCCTTTACGAAGATACAACCCACGCGGCAAGACGTCTGTACATTTTGTACACGGTATGTTACTATTCTGTTCACATTGTTTGTCAATTACGTACATGTACAAAACTGGTGTGTAACGCCTAGAGGCGGTTTAGCGGTTATGCGAAACAAACAAACAAACAAACAATTCATTGCATACATGTACATATGGAGGGCATTCGTACATGACTGTAAGGCGATTGGCATGACTGAGAGGAAATAGGTATAAATAGGTTTGTCTCATAACAGATTTTAGTCAACATCCCTAATACCCTGGGTGCCAGCCAAGTTTACAGGCCGCTAACCGTTTTTTTCGGCAGCCAGAATCTTCGCCCACAGAGGAGTATATCCGCCCTCCAACTCGTTAGGAGGGCGGCCAAACTCCCCCTGGGCTAGACTCCCTCGTAGCGGTAAGTTAGACCGGCGGGCGAAAGGTTGCAGCCCGGAAAACGAGTTCTGGCATCCAGGGTACACCACTAACCACCAGACTGCCTGCTACCGTTTGTAGGGTGTGGGTCAGTGATGACGGCCGCCAGCCGAGTAAAGGAGTTCTACAGCAACAGCCCGTTTGACGAGGACAGCGAGTGCAACCTCCACATCATCGACAAGCCCTGCGGGATGATCGCCCCGGGATACCGATTCAACCTCGCCGGCGGGGCCGAGTTGGAAGTAAGGCCATGTTGATTTGATTATATGGATGACATCCGCGCGCGCATGAATTTTCGGCCGTTTAAAAAAAAAAAAGTTTTACAACCATACTGTAAATCGTACAAAACAGTCGCAAAATGAGCAAAGACATACCGCAAGTTGCAAAAAATGATACCACTGTCTTAGAATGCCAAAATCAAACCAAAAAAGACGAAAATGTAAAGAAATGAATTTGAAGACTAGATTATTCGCCAAACCATACTCTGTGTCATCTGTTCAACCTTCATAATGAAAACATTATGAAGGTTGATTTCATAATGAAAACAACTTTTTTTCATAATGAAAACAACTTTTTCATAATGAAAACAACTTTTTTTTTAGCCAAACTTTTTTTTTTATTCGCACGCTCGCATCAATTTTGGGGTTCCCATAGGATGTCATCCATATAATCAAATCAACATGGCCTAAGCAACAGTTACACGAACGCAACCTTTTCTAATAATAGCGGCTGCGACCGCCGAGCACCCCAAAACTTTTGATGCAACAGATCGCAAAACAAGACTGGAAATGAAAACATACATTGCCATGGCGACGGTGGTTGCTGTTAGGGTTATTATTTTCATGATTTTGAGGAATACTTGGTACCTATACAGATACAGTGCACTCCTCCCCTGAGTGTACAGTGAACGAGCCCCGGGGTCACAGAAAGTAGGGCATCTGGGGAGAGAGGTCTTAGGTTTCCAGGAATGTGGGCATAGATGTGGGTCAGAGACATGCCTGTGGACATTCCATTCCTGTGGACAAAATGCCTGTACGATTCCTATAATTCTTGCAAATTGCACACAATACTGTACCATTAGGCTCCTCCCTGAGACGTCGCCAAAAAAACGAATTTCTATAAAAAATGAATTCACACCTCATTTTCTTTCAAATATAAGAATACCTTTGAATCGTAGGTCTTAGTCCAATTTTGAAATCAAGTGTCACGCAAATCCAATTTAGGCCTGAAAACAACATGGTCAAAATGCCACCGTTTTTTTTTTTCATTGTTAGTTCAACGCCGGCCCCAAGAAGAAGTACTTTGTGAGCAGACATACCAACA